ATGAGAAGAAGCCCTGAGGCATGTCTGTACCTGCAGCTGGGGTCTCCACCCTTGGGGTGTTTTCTCTTATTTATCTTTCATTTTTCCAGGAATCAAATATTTTTTACTTAAGAAAAATTTCAAACATACGGGAAACCGAAATAATTTCACAGTGAACATCGCACACCATGCTCTGGATTCTGTCATTAGCACTCTGTTCTCCTTGCTTATCACCTCCTGTCTTCTCATCCCTCCACCCTCAACGGAGTTCTGGAGTTCTTCGAAAGGAAGAGAGAGAGGGCCACACTCACTGCGGGACCAGGCAGGCTGCAGTGGGAACGCATAACAAGGCAATCTGCCCCTGTGGCCTGTGTATCTTGGGCTCTAATCCCTTTCTCAACTCTTCAGCCAGGTTCTTCTCCCTTTCCTCATCATCAACACTGCTTCTCGGTGTCTTCAGTCTCGCCACGTGGGGTCGATAAAATCTTAAGCAGTGAGAGGGGTTTTGAAGATCAGTCAGTAAGGGGTCAGCACCATGGCTCACTTGGTTAATCCTCTGCCTGCAGTGCCAGTATCCCATACGGGCACCGGGTTCTAGTCCCGGTTGCTCCTCTTCCAGTCCAGCTCTCTGCTGTGGCCCGGGATGGCAGTGGAGGATGGCCCAAGTGTTTGAGCGCCTGCACCTGCGTGGGAGACCAGGAGGAAGCACCTGGGTCCTGGCCTCGGATCGGCACAGAGCCAGCCGTAGCGGCCATTTGGAGAGTGAACCATTGGAAGGAAGACCTTTCTCTCTGTCTCTCTCTCTCACTGCCTATAACTCTACCTGTCAAATAAAAAAAAATCAGTGAGGACCAACTTCTCCAGAGTGATGGACCTCACCCTGGGTGATACACAGCCACACAGGAGCAAGTTTGCTGTAACATCTTTCACTTGCATGATAAATTGGAGTTACAAAGGGTTTGGGGGCACAGCCTAGCACACAGAGAAAATGATGACATCCATAAAACATATTGGGTGAATTGAGACTGCTGGTTCCTGGGTCCCCACACGTCTGGCTCTCTGGGTTTGCAGAAATCGGCATCTCACCACAGCAGTGGCCTATCTCGTGCATAGAGGGGAAGTTCCTTTGTTCTGTGAATTCACAGCACAGGTCGATCACTGTGGAAGTTGTTTAACCCTAGTATTGGGCTGAGCACTGTGGTACAGCGAGTTAGGCTGCTCCAGCGTAAGCTGCTGCTTGAGACATCTGCATCTCATACAGGAGTGAGTGGTTCAAGTCCCCGCTACTCTGCTTCCAACCCAGCTCCCTGCCAATGCACAGCCTGGGAGGCAGCAGATGGTGACCCAAATAGTTGGGTCCCTGCCACCCAAGTGGGAGACCCAGATGGAATTCTAGGTTCCTGGCTTCAGCCTGGTCCAGCTCTGGCTGTTGCAAGCATTTGGGAAGTGAACCAACAGATTGGAGATCTCCCCCTCCCTCGCCTTCTCCCTTTCTGTCTCCTTCTGCCCCTCTCTGTGTCACTCTTTCAAATAAATAAATAAAACATTTTTTTAAAAATTCCCCCAGTGTCAATTTTCTCTTCTGAAGAATGGGAATATTAACCACCTCAAAGAATTACTGTGAAAATAGAAACTGGATAATTCACTGAGACTTTTGTTACTTCCCCCGTAATAGTTGATCCTTTTCCAACCCTTTGTGGAAAATACCATTATTTCCCCCACTTTTAAGATGTGAAAATAGATTACCAAACCCTTCAGATAATCTCTTAATAAATGTTCCAATGTCTCTCCTAAGGACACACCATTAAGCAAGGGTCAGGGCCAGGCTTTGAATTCACATTGGTCGGGCTGCAATGCACCCTCTTTTAACCTCTGAAGCGCTGGTTCTCAGTCAGGGGCCATATTCCTTCCCAGGGACATTTGGCAAGCCCTGGAGGTATTTTAGGTTGTCATAACCAAAGAAGACGCTTTCAGCATGTAGCGGGCAGAGTCCCCGGGCACTTCTAACTAACATGCAAAAACTACTGGACATGACAGCCCTGCACCACAAATGAGCTCTCCAGGTCACATAGCAATAATGCCGAGGGTAAGAAGCCCTGTTCTCTGTGGATTCCCTCCAACTAAAGGAAAAGCAAAAATCCAAAGATGAAGCAAAGGTGTGGAACACAGATTGTTATCTCAGGACAAGCCTCTGATGAGGGGATCAAGCCATCATCAGAATGAATACTTCCCGGGAGAGCCATCAGCAGGTGCACCAATCAGCTGCCCCCCACCCCCACCGTGAATCAGGTGTCCTCCCTCCTGCCTTTCATCCATAACTCTCAGGTGGCAAGAGACTGTGGAGCCAAAGCCGCATTCATTCCTTGTTCTATCATGTCTTTTGGGCCAAGGACCCTAAACTCCTTTGACAGATTGTTAGAGGTTTGACTTTGCTCTGAAGCTCCAAGCACTAGATAATTAAAGATAAACCAAAAATGCTATAGAGAAGAAATGAGACAAGCCAGCCAGGAGCTGTAAGAAATGTCCTGTCACTTTCTTTTGTTATGATGTCCCCTACAGCAGTTCTTCCCAAAGCCTTAGCAGGGAGGTTGTAGCCAAGGAAATCTGACAGGCCCTGAGGCAGTGACTACCTTGGTGCCCACTTCCAAGTCTGCGAAGGCTTTGGTTCAGTTACTGATGACTGGGGAAAGGCGGCTGTGGCAAGTCCAAAAAAGGGAAGAATCCAGTGGGAAGCAGGAAAAGGAGGCCAGGTAAGGTCTGTGCATGTTTATCCACAGGAAAGCACAGCCAGGAGAGGTGGGAAACAAAAAGGCAGGATGCGATCCGGAGCAGGCACTTATCCTGGTGGTTAAGACGCCACGTGCCACAACAGAGTGCCTGGGTTTAACTCCCGTCTGGGGCTCCAGACTCCAGCTTACTCCTAATACACACCTTGGGAGGCAGCAGATGTCAATTAGTTGGGTCTCTGCCACCCATGGGAGAGACCTGGATTGAGTTCCTTGCTCCTGGCTCTGCCCCTGGCCCAACCCTGGCTGTTGAACAGCATTTGGAGGGCAAACAAGCAAATGGAAACACATTCTCTCTCTCTCTTTCTCTCTCTCTCTCTCTCTCCTCTCAAACAACAAAGAGGATGAGATCAGTAAATATGATACTGTGTGAGTAAAGTGAGGATTTCATGGATATTCAACAAAAAAGTGAGTGGTGGTTATTTCTGAGTGTGAGGACTTGGAAGAGCTATTTTCTTTGGGCTTCTCCAAATTTCTTTACTAACCAGTAACTATCGGATTTAGGATCTGATAGTCCAATTATGTTTGTGGCAGGGGCAGAGAGAGGGAGACGGTATAGCAAGGGGGTATGGCATGCAGAAGCCAGCCATAGGGTCTCACACACTGCTGGGATCTTACCTGCCACGCAGGGACCAGAATAGCCGTCCACTGTGCTGTGCCTGGGCCCTCACCAGGGAAGAAAGCTCATTGACATGCCCAGGGACCTGGGAGGAAGACACATTATGGAGACAGGAAAGGCCCTGGGGCTTGCTTCAACACCAACAGAGCAGGGCCTTAAGATGCCAGTTCTCCCAGCAGCTCTCTGGTTTAAAGGAGTGCTCCCACAAGTGCTGGCAACTGTGCATCCTAAACCAGGAATAGCTTCCTCCCCAGAAACAAACCCTGACAAACTCTTCATACCCCGGTCCAGAGTCACAGAACCACAGGACCACAGGGTGGAAACCACACCAGAAGTCACCCCTGGTCAACTCCCGCTCCCCCTGAAGCTGACTCCCTCTGTCAGGTGGGTGATTATTCTGGACATGTGCCACCCGGTGCCCAGGAATCCTGCGGCTTAAGGTTCAAGTTATTCTGTGTTTACACTATGTTGATTTCAGAAATTCTTCTTTCCTCTGAACCCAAATTAATCTCCCTATGACCTCCACACTTGAGTCCAAACAAAACAATTCTACCCCCTCTTTCTCTTCCCTGCATTTTAACTGTTCCATCACCTTCAAATGACGGTTGAATTCTTCTTCTGAGTCTACAAAATCCCTTACCTTTGAGGTTGTAAGACCACACCTCTGCGGGCTGTACCATTAGCAGGACGTGGGGGGAATGAGGAGACCCCATCAGCCTGCAGAGCAGGAGTGCAGGAAGCTGCTGGGACCAAGCACAAAAGGAGCCTCAGAGCCCCGCTCTCGGTCTCTGCTCTCCCTTTGCTTCTGCTTCCTTTATCCCCATCTCTGTCTGGGCCACAAAGGGGATGGGATCTGACCCTCCCACAACTCCCAAGGGCATTTCTGTTAACCCAACAGTCCCCACCAATCTAGAATCCCAGAGTCCCAATTCCAAACCCCGAAAGAGTAGTGTGGCCCAGGTTGGATCCAGTTCAACCCACTGGGGCCTGGGGAGAGGAGTGCTGTGTGTACATACAACATAGATGGCTCCTGAGAGGCGCCGGTTGGAGGAGACACGGAAAGGGGTTACATGAACTTTGCAGCCAACCCCCAAATGCCCACTAAAGCACAAAAGACTCCTTAGGGGCTGGACCCTGCATGCCTCCCTGCGTCATCCCTAAGCTCCTTTCCTCTCACCCCTTCGCCATGCCTTCCTTTCCTTCTTAGAAAGTCAGTAAAGCAGAGTGGTCAGTTAGGTCACAGTCAGACTGTCCAGGTGCAACTGTAGCCCTGTCACTGCTGGCTGTGTCTCGCCTGGGCAACTTACTTACCCGCTCTGTATCTCCAATTCATCTTGTATACTTGGTACAGTGAAAATGCCTGTCTCACAGGATAAGTAAGGAGGTTAACAGAGGTAAAGAACTTAGGTCAGTGCCTGGGATAAACAATCACCTGGTTAGTGTTGGGCTTGTGATGGTTTCCTATATATAGATATATTATATATTATATATATTTATAATATATAATTATATATAATATATATTATGTATTTATAATATATATTATATCTATATATATAGGTATAGTCAAAAAGCTTGTGAAAAATGTGCATTATCTTTTAATTACATTTTCCCACAAACCTTTTGAAGTACCCTTGCGTGCATCCAGTCGTCCATTAAAATCCACAGAGATTGGTTCCAGAACCCCTCACGGATATCAAAATCCATGGATACTCAAGTCTCTAATATAAAATGGTGTAGTATGTACAATATAACCTATGCATAGATTAGTTATAATAATAATGCAATGTGAATACTATGTAAATAGTTATTAGACTATATCATTTAGGGAATAATGACAAGTGAAAAATGTTTGTGCATGTTCAATATGGGTACAATTTCTCTCCAAATATTTTCACTGCATGCGTGGTTAAATTCATAAATGTGGAACCCATGAATATTGAGGACCAAGTATAAAATGCAAAACAAATAAAATGTACATAAATGGAAAGTGATTTATTGTGAGGAATAGGATTACATATAGGGGGACCGATAAGTTTCAAGATCTGCAATAGGCAAGCTGGAGACCTAGGAGAGCTAAGGGTGTGGCTCCATTCCATCTGAGGGCTGTGGGAGCCGATGTTGTCAGTTCTACTCCACATCTGAAATCCTGAGGACCGAGAAAACTGGTGGTGTAAGTTCCAATCCCAGGCAGGAGAAGGCCGACATGGCAGCTAAAAGGCAGGTGGAAGCTCCCTCATACTTGACCTTTGTGTTCTGCTCAGGTCTTCAGATGATTGGGTAAAGCCCAAGCCCATGAGTGAAGGCAATCTCGTTTACTCAGTCCCATGGTACTCCCTTGCAGACATATCCTCACAGACACACAGAATCATGTTGGAGTCAGTATTTGGGTATCCAGTAGATCTCTCAAGTTAAAGAAACAAGAGTAGGTGATTATGACAGTGCAGGGATCAGTAGTACAAAGCACACAGCAATGTTTGCCTTCTGGTGCACATTTTGCAGAATGGCCAGATATTTTGCAGCTCCCAGCATCAAGTCTTTTTCTCCATTACTTGGATCTGTATTTGGCTGTATGATCAGCTTTGGCCATTTGGGAATTGATGAATGGGATGCAAATAAGCAACAAAAAATGTTTGTCCTTTGTTGCTGCTTTGGGAAGGCAGCCTCCATGTGAGCAGGTCTGGGCTGGAGTACTCAAGGCTGGAGGTACATGGCCCAGGAGCCCTGTGAGTCCAGCTCATCACCTGACACAGGCTTGGGCCATCAGTGATTTTCAGCCATCCTAGACCAGAAAACCATGGAATCCCAAGACATTTTTAATAAGCATTATCTCTTAAATCAGTAAGTTTTGGGGAAGTAACTTGCTATACATCAATTATCTATTGATAATTGGTATCAAAAGTTGGTATCTAAAATGGGGCCTAGCATTTACAGCAACATAAAACAAATTGATGTGTTGGCTTTGGAACTGACACGCGAGAAGAGCTAGAAGAATGCTGAGAAAACTGCTAACAAAGACTGGGAAAATGGCGTGGACCTCATTAATGGAGAGTGGGAACCCTTGAGCAAGCTACTCCAACAGGCTGGAAAAACGATGACTCATTTTGTACAAGAGTTGCCCACAGTAACTTGAAAGATGGAAAATAACCGATAAGCCATGGCTCCAGCTGAGGACATCTCCAGACAGATGGTGAAAGCGTAATGTAGGTGATTTTCAGCTGCAGCAGAGCGATTAGCTAAAGGCACTGTTCTGTTTGCAAGAGGAATTTAAAGGCAATGTAGAGGAACCAAGGAAAATAAAACTACTTCACAGTTTTAATCTACTCCATAGGGCCAAAGAGCCTCAAAGTAAGAAATGACCTCAGGCCCAAGAATCAGTTGAGGACAAGGCTGTTAGTCCTTGTGTTAAGACCTCGGAGATGGCCGGCGCCATAGCTCACTAGGCTAATCCTCCGCCTTCCGGCGCCGGCACACCAGGTTCTAGTCCCGGTCGGGGCACCGGATTCTGTCCCGGTGGCCCCTCTTCCAGGCCAGCTCTCTGCTGTGGCCCGGGAGTGCAGTGGAGGATGGCCCAAGTGCTTGGGCCCTGCACCCCATGGGAGACCAGGAGAAGCACCTGGCTCCTGCCATCGGATCAGCGCGGTGCACCGGCCACAGTGGCCATTGAAGGGTGAACCAACGGCAAAGGAAGACCTTTCTCTCTGTCTCTCTCTCTCACTGTCCACTCTGCCTGTCAGAAAAAAAAAAAAAAAAAAAAAAAAGACCTCTGAGATATTTAATTCAGGGTGATACCTAGCTAACCCTCTAAACTAATTAATATAGTTCTGAAGGATCCTAAGGGTGCAATCTCACAGAAACCTGGTCTCAAAATCCCTATGAGTACCTCAATACAGAGAGTCTGTCTGGCAAAGAAGGTTGCATACGATCTTGGTCTAACACCATGGACAACAATCCAGGTTATATCAGCCTGAGCTAACACAGACTGTGCCAATTCAAAATGAAGAGAGATCCCTTTGCTCCTGAGTTTCTAGAAGTGGGAAGCAGGCTAAGGATGCCACTGAGCTGTAAATGCAGCTATTGCTTATGGGTAATAAAGAAAATCTCAGGGCCTTCTCTTGAGCACAGGGCTGGGGCTGGAGCGATGACATAACGGGTAAAGCTGCTGCCTGCAGTGTCAACATTCCATATGGGCCCCGGTTCAGTTCTCGGCTGTCCTACTTCAGATCCCGCTCACTGCCATGGCCTGGGAAAGCAGTGCAAAGTGGTCCAAGTCCTTGGGCTCCTGCACCTGAGTGGGAGACTGGGAAGAAATTCCTGGTTCCTGGCTTCAGATGGACGCAGCTCCAGCCATTGCAGCCATCGGGGGAACCAGCAGATGGAAGACCCTCTCTCTCTCTCCTATCTTTTCTTTCCTCTCTCTCTTTCTCTTCCACTGCTTTTTTGTAACTCTGCCTTTCAAATAAAAATAAAATAATTTTTTTAAAGCACATTACTAGCATCTGAGAGTGAACGCCTCCTTCAATTGCACACTTCAGGGTCTTGTTCACCTTACTTTTTTTTTTAATTTTGACAGGCAGAGTGGACAGTGAGAGAGAGAGAGACAGGGAGAAAGGTCTTCATTTTCTGTTGGTTCACCCCCCAATGGCCGCTGCAGCTGGCGCACCGCACTGATCCGAAGCCAGGAGCAACCGGGACAGAATCCAGCGCCCCAACCGGGACTAGAACCTGGTGTGCTGGCGCCACAGGCGGAGAATTAGCCTATTGAACCACGGCACCGGCCATCACCTTACCCTTGTCCTGGCCCTGGGTTCCAGCACCATCCCTGCCACTAACTATTGTATGTCCTTAGGCAGGTGGATGTCTTCCTGAGCTTCTGTTTTGTCATCATTAAAATGGACTAGTGACTCTTAACGTTGTCTAAGGAATCTTTAAAGTAATGAGGTCCTCTCTGCCACAGCCTGAGTTAAGAGCTTTGCTGGAAGAGAATTAGACATCAACAAAGGGTAGAAATGCACATGGCCAAAAAGCCAGGAGGAAGTGACAGAATAACAAGGTCTCTTCCCGGCAAGAGTGGAGAGCAGACCTCGTTATCTATTCTTCTATAAGGAGAAAACAATTTGCCTGGCAACAGAGTCGGAATCCTAACCATGGAAAGGTCAAAAATCAAAATGAACAAGTAGGCAAGGTCACGAACCAGGCACTGGGATACTTGAGACTTGTGGAGCAAGGCCTCGTTTAGGCAGGAGCCTGCTGTATACTCTCAGGATCCAACAGAAGAGGGTATATTAGGTGCTAAGAAGTTTCAATGGCTTAACCAAATAGACATTTCTTTCAAGCGCAAGAGAGCTTACCTGGTGGAGGGAGGGGGTAGAAGCTCTGCTGCACATACTCTTCCAGGGACCCGGGCGATGGAAACGCAGCCGTCTCCCACCTGTGGCTTCTCAGGTTCTCCTGGAAGCTGGAAACCTGTCAGCAGACAGCAGAGACAGAAAGGGAAGTATTGGGCCTAGGTGTGGTGTACATCCCTTCTCCTGGCCTCATGTGGCCATCGCTCGGGCACAAGGATATTCCTAACAGCCGGGGGCCTAGGATAAGTGACCTACCTGGGTGCCTGGGAGGTAAGGGAACAGCATAGTAAGTTCTGGATGACAAAGGAGTGGAGTACTTTTCAAAGTGATGATGATGATAGTTTTAGCATTGGAGCTTTTGAAAAAATGCTACTTAGAACACAAATATGTAAAGAATATAAACACGGAGTGCCCTCTTCTAAGCATAGGCTTTGGAATACGGCAAACTGGTTTCACATCTTTTGCTCCCCAGTGTCTACCCCAGACTTAGGAGACCCTGAGCTCAATGGTTAAGAGCATGCACTTTGGGGCCTACTAGATCTGGGTTAGCTGATTAAATGATGGCGCTGCCATTTATCATCTGTGGGATCTTGCTTTATTTTTCTGGGTCTTGGTGATTTCTGCAAATACTACCAAGTCAGCCAAAGGTTTGACCTATGTCAGGAAAAGAAATGAAAGACATTCCTGATGTTTCAACAAGAGACAACCATTTGTGCAGGTGCCCGAGGTGGCGTGAGATGAGAATTATGCTGGAAACCTCAGTCGCATCCGCAGGCCCCGCCTCACATGGTCTCCAGAGCAGAGTCTGATGCTTCGCATGAAAGACGTAGCCAGACAGCACGTTATGGGCTTTCCTCTGTTTATTGTGAAATTTCTGGTTCCTCTCCACACATCCTGCCTCCAAATGAAATATATTTCAACAGCTAAAATGAGAGCCGATGTGGTATGCTTTTTAGAAGTACAACATCGGCTTGGCCGTAGCATGATATGAAGCTACAATTGGGAAGGAGATGGAAAGAAATACCAAAAACATGGGGATGTAGGTGTTTTGGAAAGCACAGTGGAATCAGTATCCCTGTGGTGGGAAACATTAGGATGTGAGAATCCTTAGCACTTATCCAGTTGGATGCTGGGATTCCAAGCCATGACACAGGACATATGGACCTATGACACAGTTTAACTTATACATTAGTCATAGTAAAAGATTGTTTTTAAAGATTTATTTATTCATTTTGAAAGTCAGAGTTACACTGACTTTTTTATACTCTCTACAGAGTTTAACTCCCTCATTCTATTGACCTGGATACAAAGACCAGACCTAGTAAAAGAAAAATGATGCCTCACAAGTAACTGAACCATCATCTGCTGCCTCCCAGGAAGCTGGGTGGGAAGCAGATGTGGGACTGAATCTCAGCCTCTTCGATATGGGCTGTGGGGTTCCCAAGCAGCAGCTTAACCTCCTGCACTACAACACCCGGACAGGCCTCTTTTGCCTATTTTAAAAATTAAGCTATTTGCTATTGAGTTGTATGATTTCCTTATATGTTTTGGATATCAACCCCTTATCAGATACGTGGTTTGTACGCATTTTTCTCCCACTCTGTAAGTTGGCTTTTCATCTTGTTGATTGGCTCTTTGCTGTGCAGAAGCATTTAGCTTAATATATGGGGCTCAAATTTTGACTTTGCCTTTTGCTGATTTTCTGATGTTGGGACTAATGATGGCTAGTTATGATTGTTAGTAAGTTTTTGCTATAAGACAAATAATGCACGCTGTCTACTATGTTAATAGTCACAACAGTAGGATATAGGGGTAGTTATTCCTTATTTACAGAACTGAGGCTTGCACAGTGATATAGATGATCCAATCACACAGCTAACACACTGTGATAATCAGGACCAGCTTCCAGTTATATTTGGAATTAGAGATTGCAGCCAGGTTGTGAAGGAATGCCTGGGAACTTGACTTGAATCCAAGTATGCAGATTAATTAAGCAATTACTTTATTTAGAAACAAAAATGTCCCAAAAATTGTCAATAAACGATTTGATTCACTTTTTTTCTTTTCCTAAAGATTTATTTATTTATTTGAAAGGCCAAGATACAGAGAGATGGGAGAGGGAGAGAGAGAAAGAGAGAGAGAGAAAGATATCCTCCATCCACTAGTTCACTCTTCAAAATAGCCACAACAGCCGGGATGGGACCAGGCTTAAGCCAGGAGCCAGGAGCTTCTTCCAGGTCTTCCATGTGGGTATAGGGGCCCAAGGCCTATGCTGCCTTCCCAGGTATATCAGCAGAGAACTGGAGCATAGTGGAGCAGCTGGGACTCGAACCAGGGCCTATGGGAAGCCAGCACTGCAGGTAGCAGCTTAACCTGCTACACCATGCATCAGCCCCACTTTTATTCACTTTTACAGAACACAGAGAAAGTGTCAAGTGCCCATGTAACAAACTAAAGACTCCCAAATTAAGGTGGCTTTGGGCACTGCTGGCCAGCATGTGGTCCTGTGGGAAGCATGGCCATGAATTCCTGCTCTCCAAGGGGCAGCACAGTGCTTACTCCAGGCTCCCGAGACAGGTTTGGCAGAGCTTCTGTACCCTAAGAAAAAGACACTACCAGAGAAAGAGATGGTGGCCTGAGTGTGCTTCCTGCAGAATCAGCAAAGGAAAAGATCGTAAAGGCAGTTGAAATATTTCATCTGTGATTAATCACTGGGAACAAAGCACAAATTCTCAAAATAATTAGGCCCAGTTAATGGGCCCAGCAAAGCCACAGACTGTGCTGTTCATCTGTTAGTTATAAATGCCGCCGCAGGAGCCTCCGGGGCTAGAGCTGGGGCTGAAGAAAAGCCTCAGCGTTTACATTTTCCGTTTTAATATTTGGCAAATAAAAGGATCTCAAGTCATGGTCATCATTCCAATGTTAGCATTCAGGGCCTTTATAGACACTTAGCACTCGTTTGTATTTCCTGTCCTCCAACTGAAATAGAGCCGTCGCGAGGGATGCTGTTGGTGAGCTGCTGGGTGTCCCGAGTCAAAGCATTCACCCTGGAGCCAGCCAATCCACCTCCTCACTCTACCCCAGACTTGGCTTTCCGTCATCCAAGCCTTTCCCTCTGATCTTCTAGGCCCTTTCTTGAATTCAAGTCCTCCCCTCCCCCATTTTTTTTCCCTAAAGAGTAGCAGACTGAAAGAGAGCTCCTGCCCACTGATTCACCCCCAAAACACCTGCAAGGTCCTGGTTTAGGCTGGGTCAAAGTTGAGAGCCAGGAACTCAATCTAAGCTTCCCAAGTGAGAGTTACTCTGTTGCAAATACTCTGTTTCCCCAACAGAAAACGAACTAAGCCAGCATTGTGCATATTTTGCTTTGAAACTGAAGGTAGTGTAAGGAGAGAGAGGCGTACACAACCATTGCAAGGGCTGGGGAGCAAAGCTGGGAAGACTGCTGCTCACTACCAGGGAATCAGACGGTCCAGGAATCCTGGTAAAGTTGCCACCAGGATCTCTGATGCTGGCAACACCCTAGTGAAGATTCCCAGGATAGGGCTCCAGAGCTGCCTGCAGAAAACGGTGCCTTGTCATTCATCTTCCAAATCTCACGAATCTCTCTTTTTTATCTACTATGTACAAAACACTTTTTGATATTGGAATAGCAACATAATAAGAAATAATGGCCGGCGCCGTGGCTCAATAGGCTAATCCTCCACCTAGCAGTGCCGGCATACAGGGTTCTAGTCCCGGTCGGGGCGCCGGATTCTGTCCCGGTTGCCCCTCTTCCAGGCCAGCCCTCTGCTGTGGCCAGGGAGTGCAGTGGAGGATGGCCCAAGTCCTTGGGCCCTGCACCCCATGGGAGACCAGGAGAAGCACCTGGCTCCTGCCTTCGGATCAGCGCGGTGCACCGGCCACAACGTGCAGGCCGCGGTGGCCATTGGAGGGTGAACCAACGGCAAAAGGAAGACCTTTCTCTCTGTCTCTCTCTCTCACTGTCTACTTTGCCTGTCAAAAAAAAAAAAAAGAATTCGGGGCTGGCATGTGGTATAGCGGGTAAAGCTGCCGCCTGAAGCTCCAGCATCCCATATGGGCACCAGTTTGAGTCCCAGCTGCTCCACTTCCAGTCCAGCTCTCTGCTATGGCCTGGGAAAGCAGTGGAGTGTGGCCCAAGTCCTTGGGCCCCTGCACCCACATGGGAGACCCTGAAGAAGCTCCTGGCTCCTGGCTCCGGATCAGCCCAGCTCAGGCTGTTGCAGCCCTCTGGGGAGTGAACCAGTGGATGAAAGAGCTCTCTGTCCTTTCCTTGCTGCCTCTGCCTCTCTGTAACTCTGCCTTTCAAATAAAAAAATAAAATCTTAAAAAAAAAAAAGAAAGAATTCTTTCCTTAACGAACGCATGTTATTGTGCTTCTAAAATATTCACTGAATAAATGAATACAAACAATAGGAAATAGAAATTTAGAAACACTAGTACAGACAAAACAATATAATGAGTTTGTAGTAAGAACAAGCTAGACCTGGGTTCACATCCTGCTTCTGCAAACCCACTCACTGTGTACCGTGGTCTGTCACTGTGGAGCCCCTTAGCACCTTTTCCTGCCTGTAGTTCCACTCTGTGGAAGCAGCATGGGTTTTGGATTTGAGTGGACCAAGATCAGCCAATCTGTAATGATTATTCATGTAGGGCAGTATTTTCCATTTGTAAAGTAGATTTTAAAAATTCCAAAATTAGCACATAAATCTAGGATTCAACACTTTTCATTTCCTAAGCAGAAAAGTATTTAATGAATATGGCCTAGGGTGGAATTTTTTGGTAAAGATTTTTTTCTGTGTTTGAAAGGCAGAGTGACAGAGAACGAGAGCAAGAGGGAGAGAGGGAAAAAGAGATATCTTCCTTCTACTTGTTCCCTCCCCAAATGTCTACAACAACCGGGGCTGGGCCAGGTTGAAGACGTCCATCCAGGACTCCCACATGGGTGCAGGGGCCCAAGCACTTGGGCCATCTTCTACTGCTTTCCCAGGCCATAGCAGAGAGCTGGATCAGAAGTGGAACAGTCAGGCCTCAATCGGCACTCTGATATATGGGATGCCAGCCTTGCAAGTGGCAGCTTAAAGTGTTACATCATGAAGCCAGCCCCTAGAGAGTAGAATATTTCTGTCTTTCTTCATGTCTTCCTCAATGTCTAAGTATGTCTGTAGTAACTGGCTTCCAACATGACCCCCATTCGACTCACTTTCTGATATCATGCCCTTTTATAGGCCCCTCTCACACCAAAGAGTGTTGACCTGTGGAACGAATTGAATACTGCTGAAATGGCTGTGTGACTTCTGTTACTGTAATACCTACATTGTCCCCTCTTGGATTACTCTCTCTGGTGGAAACCAGTTATGGTGCCACAAGGACATTCAGTGGAGAGATCCATATGGTGAGGAGGAATGAGGCCTCTAGCCCACAGCTGTGAGCCGGCCAGCACGCAAGTGCCTCTCCTCACCAAGCCTTCTCATGACTGCAGTTTGGCCAACACTTTCTACCTTCGTGACAGACCTGAACCAGAGCCACCCTGCCAACCTACTACAAAATCCCTGGCCTGTGGCAATTGTGTGAGATAATTGCTTATGGTTGTTTTAGGCCGCTTAGTTTTGGAGAGATGCATTGCAGCTGAAACAGGGCCCAGAAAGTCAACCTGCAGAAGTGCACCCAGCTTCTTGCCCTCTTGTGATCTCCGGCACTCCGTTCCTGGGAATCTCTGGTCTTTCACCAGCCTTCCCTGCCCCCGGAGGCTAGACCCACGTCACCCTGCTCCTCTTCAGGGTCACGCCCACAGGGCACGTGTCAGACATGTCCTGTCTTCCTCTGATATCTGTCTCTGCCTCGGATCTTTTCTTCCCTCAGAGATGTGGGAAATGGGAAAAGTGCTCAACAGCAAAGGAGAAGGGACATCGCTCAAGAAGCTCATCCCGGCTGGCACCGCGGCTCACTTGGCTAATCCTCCACCTGCAGCGCCGGCACTCCAGGTTCCAGTCCCAGTTGGGGCGCTGGATTCTGTCCCGGTTGTTCCTCTTCCAGTCCAGCTCTCTGCTGTGGCCCGGGAAGGCAGTGGAGGATGGCCCAAGTGCTTGGGCCCTGCACCCCATGGGAGACCAGGATAAACACCTGGCTCCTGGCTTCGGATTGCAGCAGCCATTTTGGGGGGTGAACCAACGGAAAAGAAAGACCTTTCTCTCTGTCTCTGTCTCTCTCTCACTGTCTAACTCTGCCTGTTAAAAAAAAAAAAAAGAAGAAGAAGAAGCTCATCCCATCCCCAGAAAGCCTTGGGTGATGCCCACGATGCCCAGGACAGCGGCAGACAGACACACGGTCCCCCCTTTCTCTCACAGGCCCCACATGGCATCTCCAGCCATCCGGACCACTCTCGGCTCACCTCAACCTTTCATATCTATTTGGAGTGGCGTTTCTGCTCCCCCTGACTGGAATGCCGTGTGCCTTCTCCACTATTTGGTGACCTCTTACTCAAGGTACAAAAGCAGCTCTAGTTGTCAGAGTTCTGGAAAGCCTTCTTTGTTTTCCCCAGGCCAACAATACAAGGGAATAAAAGGCAAGATTATTTTTCTGTTAACTTTTGGAAGTAGCCTGTGTCATCCATTTCTTCTTCAGCATTCCCATCTCTATTTTTTTATTGTTATTTGTTTGCTTTCACTTTATTTGAGAAGCAGAGACACAGAGAGAGACAGAGAAGCAGACAAACATCCTCCATCCACTGGTTTACCCCACAAATGCCCATAACAGCCAGGGTTGAACCAGGCTGAAGCCAGAAGCTGAGAACTCCATCCAGGTCTCCCACATGGATGGCAGGAACCCAAGAACTTGAGCTATCACCTGCTACCTCCCAGGGTACACATTAGCAGGAAGCTTGATGGGAAGCAGAGGAACCAGGACTTGAACCTGGCACTCCAACATTGAATGCTGGCATCCCAAGTTGTGTCTTAACCTCTACACCAAATGGTTGCCCTCCCGCACCCATCTCTTTATTGTTAGCATTCATCCATTGCCATAACAACTGCTCTCAGAGTCACCCCCGACCAGGAGGGCCTCACACACAGGGAACATGTGCTTGTGTCTGCTGCCTCTGCTCCCAGCACAGAACTTGTAGAGTAGAGGGGGAACTTTAGAAACAGAGGGAGGGAGAGAAGGGAAGGAGGTAGGACACACTGCTCAGTTGCTTCCCAGCATCCACTTCTCTTTCTCTTACCCTGACTTTTCCTGCTGCTGTTTGGGTGTGACTGACACCATCCTCAGGAGTGGGCGGGATTGCTCTGTAGAAATCACAGGATTCCACTTGCCTTGCTACAAATTGGTTCAGACATGGATGTAACATTGGAGACATTTTCTGAGTGTGCATGGAACGACAGCCTCCTTCTTTTATGGGAGCTACCAGGTGGATAGATAGATAGATAGATAGATAGATAGATAAATAGATATAGACATAGACATAGATAGATATAGACATAGACAGATAGATAGATAGACAGATAGATTTATATTCCAAATGAGATACTTGTATCTTCCTGCTAAATATGAATAAGAAGACTGTATCACTGGGAATTGCTGGCTCCATTTTATTCTTCAAATCAGTCTGAAGCAAATATTTAGGAAGGAAAGGCCAGAAGTAGAGGGGAAAAATGATCCTGATCATATTACCCAACTCTTAGATCTAGCCACATCTGTAAGTATAAACCCATGTCTTCCAGATTAAAGAATTCTGTTTGTTATTAAAATCTGTTTCCATTGTTTTCTACTACTGGCAACATAAGCAGTCTTGATACAAGAAGGGAATAAAGAAGTTAAATTTTCTCATATAACATATCTAAGAAATAATGTAAAGGTATTTAAGGGAGTAAGTTTCACTTACCTGGAGAATTCATTTTCTGAAAATTATTTTTTTCTGAATGATGTTACAACTGGAAGAAGTTGCTGCACCTCTCTGCCCACCTCTGTCTTTGTTCATTTATTCATTCACTCGGCAAATAGCGAGCATCTTCTAAAAGTCAGGCGCTGGGCTGGTACAGAAGATAAGGTCCTTGTTGAGTGGAGGTGACAGACATGTCTGTCCATCCTCTGTGGTGTCCGTCACAGAGCCCTTCACATCATGGGTGGACAACAAAGATCAACGAGTTATTTCACGATGGCTTGGGTCGCAGCTGCACAACAGCTGAGAGTTGGTTACCAGGGGTAGGAAGAGCAAAGAGAATAGGGAAGTAGAGACTGGAAAAATGCTAATTTGATGCAGGCTAGTGCAGGTTGGAGAAACTGTACGAGAGTTATGAAAGAGAATGCCAGTTGAGAGACCAGGGCGATTGGAAAACACCTGGGAGACAGGGAGGAATCTAGAAAGTCAGAGTGAAGTGAGTGGGAGCCGCGTAGACAGCCAGCACTGTTAACCCCTGGCCACCCTGATAAGCCGAGTCAAGTGGGCCAAAGAACATTCTGTCTGCATTCCCTCCTCCCTGCTCTCCTTTGAGTGCCCTCCAGATGGCAACCAACTGCCAGGGTGCTTTCTGTAGAGCCCTGTCTGAGGCTCTCTGGGACCCTCCCTCTGCCTCCTGAATCAACTGCCTACTCGGCCACCGGTGCTTACCCACTCTGGTTTCCAACCAATTTGCAGGAAAGCAGTCTGTGGCATGTGATTTCGTTGACCCATAAGTGACCCATAAATAAACCTCTCCCAGTTCGGCTCAGCTGGAAGAGACTTTGACATACTTTACCCCTATAAGATTCTTAATTTCAAATCCCATACCTTTCCTATGACAATTTGTGTTATGTAGAACAAAGTTCTACACCATAGTCCATTCTGTTTTGTCCCAAAGTCAGGGAATTTTGCATGCTCTATTTTCAAGTACGAGGATCCTGAGATGATTCTGGCTGCAAAACATTGGGAAAATCTGAATCAATAGATATTCACAAAAAATTAAGCCCAGTAGATTACAGGGGAAAACTGCACAAAGAGGGTCAGGGATAAGTTCAAGTCTCCACCGTTTGTAGAGGCAGATGCAGAATATGGCTTCCTACCTCAATCGCTAGACTTTTTTCATGGTTCAGCATATCATTTCTTAGGAATTCCATGTTGGCTAAACTATTACTAACATTCTAAAAAGCATTCTGAATATTTTCAATATTTTGGAATGTAGAACAATTTTGTACAATCCTGGTACCCTTTATAGAACCTTGAGCCTATTAGCAGTACTGAACTTTCCCCCATATTTCAAAGGATAGATCTGAATATGGTTTAAACACCACTAACCTTTACTACCACCCGTGTACTAGGATGCACTGTCTTGGGACATCAGCCAGGTTTCCAACCACTTTGTACACTCACCTCTTGTCTTTCATCCAAGTATTCCTTTTACTTACATATTGATCTCTCTTACTGTCCCAAGGGCAGGGACTATATTGGATTTGGCCCTAGCACCTAACTTGGCTCCTGCCACTATACCAGGCACTGCCTCAAGGTAGGCCAGCTGTGGGGTGGGCATTTGGCCTAGCAGTGAAGATACCCACATAGCACATCAAATTCAGCAAAGTAGGTTTGATTCCTGGCTCCAGCTCCTGACACCAGCTTCCTGCTAATGCAGACCCTGTGAGGCAGCAGTGATGGCTCAAGTTATCCGGTTCCTCCTGCCCATGTGTGAGACCTGGATTGAGTTCCTAGCCCCCGGCTTTGGCCCATTCCAGTCCTGACTGTTGTGGACATTTGGAGAGTGGACCAGTGGGTGGTCCCTTACCCAATATCTATCTGTCTGGCTCTTGAATTTAAAAGAAAAAAAAAAGTTGATCACCTCTGCTCAAGCAAGAGCCACTGAATCTTCTTGGAGATACAGAAGTAAAGCGAGCAGGCACTCCTTGCCATGGGAACTATGTGGCAAGGTCACTTCTGCCTCACAGATTTGACTGCTGAGTTTTAGGGAAGGAAGCTTCTCTGAACCCAAGCCTGTGTCCTCGAGAGTCAGAGGTAGGGTTCTAGCAAAGGGTCTTAGGGCCCTGAGCAAGGACAGCAGACAGGAGAGCACGCATTCTCCCTAAAAGGGCACAGCAAGCCTGGGTTCAACACTCAGGCTTTGTTTTTTTGGGGTTCAGCTGGCCCCTGTACAGTCAAGAGCTGAGGCTGGGAGACTTCAGCCTCAGCCTCCCAGCACAGGGTTCTGGGTGGAGAAACTGTGAGTGTAACCCGAGAGAGTCAAGAGATGGGGCTTTGTTGAAGAGGATCCCAGAGACAAGGGCATCACTGGAGTGGCTGAGCAGCTGAGTGACAGCAGATTACTAGGCACCATCAGGCAAGAGAGAGAGCAACTGGCTGATCAGGCCCCGCTTTGACTCTCCTTGAAGGACATCTAGAAGCAGAATGGTCCGAGGAGGTGCTGAGATCATGGGGAAGTGTGCCTGCGAGTCAGGTAGGAGAGTGTGGGCAGATCACGGACTCCTGGAAATACCGCACATAAGAATTGAAGTTGGAAGAAACATATTACCTAAACCAGTAGTCATAAGAACTAGCATTGACTGAATGCGTGCTGTATGCCAGGCGCTGTCCTACTATCTTAGATTTGATGGTAGATAGGTTCTATTACAGTAATGCTTGTAGTTTTCAGTAAGGATCTTATGAGGTAAGTAATACCCCATCTTACAGGTAGGGAAAATGAGGTGAGCGAGAGTAGCTTGTTTACAGTCACACAGCTGGCAGGTAAGCATTAGACCAGAATTAGAACCCAGGCACTGTGGCTCCAGCCTCCGGGTTTGCCTCCACTGTGCACTCACTCCCAGCCAGGCTGGATGCGTGGGAGGCAAAGGGACAATCTCACACTTAGCAGCTCTTCTGTACAGCAGCCAGAGCCAGGGGTTCTTGTCCCCTTTGCAAATCTAAAGCTGATGCTCAGAGCAGGTGAGCAGCTTCATTCCCGCAAGCAGCTGGTCTGGAGCAGAGCCACAATCTGGACCCTCTGGGCCCTGGCTGTGCCATTTCCACTTCTTGCTGCTCCCATCTGAAGCAGCGGCTCTCCTCCCTGCAGGCTGGGGCACTTGTGCATCCTGAGCTTCAAAGTTCAGGGAGGGGCCGGCGCTGTAGTGTAGAGGGTAAAGCCACCACGTGCAGTGTCGGCAACCCACATAGGCACCGGTTCAAGACCCGGCTGCTCCACTTCTGATCTGGCTCTCTGCTGTGGCCTGGGAAAGCAGCAGAAGATGGCACAAGTCCTTGGGCCCCTGCACCTGCAGGGGAGACCCGGAAGAAGCTCCTGGCTCCTGGCTTCAGATCAGCGCAGCTCCGGCCGTTGCGGCCAACTGGGGAGTGAATCAGCGGATGGAAGTCCTCTCTTTCTCTCTCTCTCTCTGCCTCTCCCCTCTCTGTGTGTAACTTTTTCAAATAAATAAATCTTTTTTTTAAAAAAAAAGGAAAGTTCATGGAAAATGCATATTGTGAAAAAACTGGTGCACAGGTTTTAAAAGTTTTTTACACCAAAATAAGCTTAACTTTTGAATGTTTCGAAGTAACCTTGGCAATTTGGCAGCTGATTTCCCTGCGCAGGGCAGACCCAGAAAAAGAGAAGCCTGGGTGTTAGGCACTGCTGTGTTTAGTGCTGAAACCCTGACACTTTCTTCATTTTTGCTTCTTTTTTTTTTTTTTAAGATTTATTTATTTGAAAGACAGAATGAGAGACAGAGGAGAGAGAGAAAGAGACAGAATCTTCCATCTACTAATTCATGCCCCCAATGGCAACAATAGTTAGGACTGGGCCAAGCTGAAGTTAGGAGCTTGGAATTTCATTCAGGTCTCCTGTGTGGGTGCACATTAGCAGGGAGCTGGGTCAGAAGCGGAGCAGCTGGGACTTGGACAGGTGCCCGTATGGGATCCAGTGTCAAAGGCGGCAGCCTAACCTACTGTGCCACAGTGCTGGCCCCAACCCTTGCACCCACCTTCCTTCCTTCCCTCCTTCCTTCCTTTCAAGATTTATTTATTTATTTATTTTGAAAGTCAGAGTTAGAGAGAGAGAGAGACATCTTCCATTTGCTAGTTCACTCCTCAGCTGACCACAATAGCCAGGCCAAAGCCAGGAGCCAAGAGCTTCTTCCAGGTCTCCCATGTGGGTGCAGGGGCCCAGGCACTTGGGCCATCTTCTTCTGCTTTCCCAAGCCATTAGCCGGGAGGTGGATCAGAAGTAGAGCAGCCAGGACTCAAACCGGTGCCCCTATGGGATGCCGGCACTGCAGGTGGCTGCTTAACCCTCTACGCTACAACGCCAGCCCAGGTTGCACCTTCTGAAGGGCATCTGGATTTACTGATTCTACTCAGTGAAGACCTGAGCCCTGGCTCCAGAGCAGGAGTGGAAAGGGATGTGTGTGTGTGTGTGTGTGTGTGTGTGTGTATTGTCTTCAAAGACTTCCTGGTCACCAGAGTCCCCACCACAGAACCAATATCCCTTCAAATGCCCAAGAATGCTCAGTGGTGGCTAGGGCCTTACTGCTGATTAAGAATGATCTGAATAATTATAAATGCCTGATTCCCTCTCTAATCAGTCAGATAATCCTCTAATCAGTCAGATTATCAGTCAGATAATCCTTCCACGCCTCCCCACCCTGCTTTGTAAAGTGAGAAAAGTAGGCTGAGCGATCTTGGAGGTGTCAGTACATACTAACTTCCTAGCAGGCTGTGATTTCCTAAATTTGTGGCCGCGCACCCCGTCAGTGATGGCAACTGGATTGTGAGGACCACACACTTGCACAGATTTTCTTGTGAGCATGTGAATCCCTGCCCCCACTCTGGAACTAAGTACGATTCATCCCAGTTTGCAGGGAGGAGGGAGCTGAGGCTTACAGCATGAAGTTCTGGTTCCTGTAACTCACAGCAGGTAAGATCTGAACTCAGGTGTGCCATCACACGGTGCTGTGACTCCGAACAATCCCATCAACCCACCACCCCCACATGTCTCCACTCTATCCAACACCCCCACATGTCTCCACCTGCACTGGGACCACCCATAGGGCTTGGCCCCAGAGGAAGCATCGCCGGTGTTCAGCCTGCCTGCTCGTCAACAGGTGTGTGGTCACACGGCAGGGCTGCAGCCGAGGTGGCAGCTTTCTGCTCTACGGGGTTGCAGCGCCATGCTAGACCCAGCCAAAAGCCCTATTGCTGCCAGATCCTTGGCAGCAGCCAGTTCCAGGGGGTTACCAACTACAGCATTTTTGAGGTTTGCTCAGCTTTCATGTCTGGCCACATTCAAACCCTTGGTAGGCCTGGGGCCAACCCCAGGAAATGCCTCTGGCAGTTACAGCTGCATCCAAATAAAAACAACTCCAGCAAGGCTCCACATAGCTGAGCTCCAGGGGGTGGAAGGGGATTTGGATCCCTCAGAATCCTGGCAACTCTAAGGTCCAGCTCATCAGTGAGGGTTGCCAGCAGCCAGGTTCACACTGGGGATGCCAACTTAGGGAAACTTAGGCCAGCCAGAATCATAAACACATCTCCCTGCGGCCCCCTTCCTGACCGTGGGCCACCTGGGCCAGCAGCCCTATAATCTGCTGAGGGTGTCGACCTGGTTTTTTTTTAGTTTTAGTTTTTAAGCTCTTTTAATGATTTGTTTATTTGAAAGGAGTTACAGAGAGAAAAAGAGGGAGAGACAGTGAGATCTTTCACCCCCCAAATGGCCTCAACAGCTGGGGCTGGGCGAGGATGAAGCCAGGAAACAGGAG